GCAGTAGCAGGCTCTGATCAGTGACTAGGTGCAGGTAGAAGGGAAAAAAAAGCCTTGACAGCTCTGGGAGTTTGAGTCAGTGATTTCAAGGCAAGAGATTAAAGGCTGGAAGTCAGATGAATTAGTGCCCCCTATGCGTTTGGAGGTAGAAAGGCTTTATGAATTATTTGTGAGCGCTTGTGTCTTCACAACTTTTTCCGATTGTTTCGTATTAGAGGTGAAAAGAAGTGGAGAAAGTTTGTCTTCGATAAAGAAACTAAGAAATGGAGTAAGAGAATGAAATGCGAAGAAGAGTTTAAAGGTTAAGAGGTCGATTGTAACCCCGCCCCTCAAACAGACACACACACATTTTAAAAAACCCAAAGCAGCAGAGTTAAATGCATTTTGAAGACACATCTACACTACGCGCAGCCCACACATAGCACAGTAGATGTTATTTATTGTGGCCATTTATCTCCCGGCGTGCGGCCCCGTTTGTGCTTATAGCTGCGAGCAGTGCTTTGCCTTCATAGTGGATATTGTAATCCTGGCTTCTGCTTTTTATTTATTTATTTATTTCCTCCTATAACAACGAGCTAAATGTCATGCTTCGTTGTGCAACAAGCAACGGCGGCAGTCAAAAAACGAGGCGCTGCCTAAAGACGTCCGTCCACGCCCTGTCACCTGTGGCGGAGCTCGTTCGTGTGTCGCCCGTGTGTCGTTTCGAGCAGACACGGCAAAGTAAAAGCAGAGGAGTATAACCTGCAACATTTTATTATTACATAAATAAGGAGTTGGGAGGACATTTAGCACGGGGCGTCTGTGTTTAGTGACAAATCACTCGTTTGAAACCAGCCTGCCTCTAGTTAAGTGAATTAGCCTGCTGCTATTGCTGCCGGAAAGTGATCCATGCACTAAATATATGTTAAGTCTTTCCTGCATAAAGACATTTGACAACCTTTTTTGTGCCCTTGATGACGAGTATATCAATAAAAGCACGAAGACCAGTAGAATAGTTCCTGGGCTTTTCCAAAAGTTTCCGAACTCACTTCTGGGGATGGGTATTGATAAGATTTCACGATTCCGATTCCATTTTCGATTCTGTTTAACGATTCGATTCTTTATCGATTCTTTTAAAAAAGGAGAACACTAAGGTCGATTAGCTTAGAACTTTGTTTTATATCTTCTCTTTGAACAAGATAGAAATTTAGGAGTAACATGGCCTTACAAACCCAGCAGTGAGATCTTAACAGATCCACAGCCTACGG